AAAGAAATTACAGTCTCGCTGAACTTAAATAAGGATTTGAAGAAAAGGAGCCAGCCTCGTGCTTGGGCGTTCCTTTTCTTTCCTGGGGTGCCCCCAGTCAACCATCTCTGATGTTTTGATCATAGTGTAATGTGTTTTTTAAAATATATATACATATATATATCTCAGGACCATTGACACGCCCAGGTGGGGGAATACTATGCTTCAGCCTGAATTTGTCTGGGTTTCTGAAAATTAATTCATTAGGTAAACGGAAGGTTTGTTTTTTTAAAAAAATCTGAATAGAAATGAGAAAATGTTTCAGGGAGCATTATTTGACACTGCAGCCAGCAGGCTCCGTTTTGAAGTTGTAGATATAGAAGAAACACAAGCAGAGATCTGATTTAATGCAGTGTAGCTAAAAGAAGAGGAAATATCCTTTTTAAAAAAAGCATGTTCTAAGATCAAAGGCAAAGGCAACAGAAATGATTGTAGGGGTTAAAGGAAAGACTGCATTGTTTGTCTGTAGCTTAGAGCCGAGGTAGACAGGAAGAAACTCAAGGGTACGTAAAGGTGGCCACAGTTAGTGGCCACAGTTGGGACCAGCAATTGTCATTAAGCACACCAGTCACTAAATGAAACCAAGACTGTGCTTATGATCTTACTTCAGCCTTACAGACTTTCAAAAGTTAATAAATAAAAGTATTGGTCATAAAATTACCTTTTCAGCACCATTAAAACTGCAAATGGTTGTTAAACGAAGCAGTTGCTAAACAAAGACTCCCTGTAGTCATACATGGCGTGGAAAATGCAGGTAGAGATATTATTCCCCCTGTTAGGGTTATCTCTAAATGTATAACCAAAAAATAAAAAAATACTTTTTACACAAGATGGACTTAAATTGTAGAAGCTGCTGCCATCACATAGAGCAAGGGTCTTCAAATTTGGCAAGTTTAAGACTTGTGGACTTCAACTCCCAGAATTCCTGAGCTAACATGACTGGAGGAGGGATTCTGGGAGTTGAAGTCCACAAGTCTTAAAGCTGTCAAGTTTGAAGACCCCTGACATAGAGCAATGGTCACTTTAGTTTTTAAAAAGAAGCCTGAACAAATTCATAGGCAGATTTCATGTCAGGTCATTTGGTATTTGCCTAACCTGAAAGTTAACTCTTTTTCAAACTCTACTATTCTCATGGAGTTCTCCTGAGCAATATTTATTAAGAAGAAAGTTGTGGAGTTAAAATTGTTTTCCTTCTACAACAGAGATGGGCTTCTGCCGGTTCGCACCGGTTCTCCCGAACGGGTAGTTAAGATTAGGCATAGTTCAGCCAACTGGCAAATCCCACCATTGGCTGGTCCCGCCCCTATCCATTTTTCAGCCTGTTTTGGGGGCCATTTTTGGACCAAAATATGGCTGAAAATGGCTCCAAAAATGGCCTGAAAAATGGCCATTTTCAAGCCCCAAAACAGGCCAAAAATGGGCAGGGGCGGAGCCAGCCAGTGGTGGGATTAGCCCCAACTGGCTGAACCCTACCTCTTCCCTTGAGGCAAGTGGCTGGGAGGCAGGGCTGAATGTGATGAGTGACATCACCCACTCAGTCACATGACCAACCAGCCACGCTTACCCAGCCAGAGAACGGGTTGTTAAAAAATTTGCAGCCCACCACTGTTCTAGAACTAATTTATGTTCAAGTAGGTTAGCAGGAAGAGTTGATTGATCTTTCTAACAGTCATTCTGTGACCCCAGGTAGCAGAGGAATTTTGGGAGTTGAAGTCCAACCATCTTAACATTGCTGAAGGTTGAGAAACATTGTATTAGGATAATGTGAAGTTTGATTTGGCGTTTCAATTTCAACAATACAAGAAAATACAGGAATAAAATATATATCTGGTAAATACAGATGTATATGCTTGCACTTTTTTATACAAAGTCACTTTACTGTTGCAATCAATAGATCCTCCCAACTCTGACAATGCAGTGTTTGTTTGTGTGTGAGACACAGAGAGACAGATAGATACATGGATAATCTATATTGCATTAAACTGTTATTCAGAGGGCTCTCCAGATGTTGGATGGGATGCTGTAAGAGAATGAGGAAATAACCTTGATGAAAGGATTGAGTGAGCTGTCAAGAGGAAGAAGAATTCAGGCTTAGGAAATGTAAAGCAAGAGGAAGACATTCATAAGAACCCCACCTTGACTTTAAAAGGGGCAAAGATGAACCTTGGCAGTCTTTCAAGATTGATGTCAACTTTTTCAAGTAGGCCAGATCAGGAAACAGACACCATAAGGATTCCAGGAATAGCAATAGCAATATCACTTAGATTTATATACCGCTTTATAGTGCTTTACAGCCCTCTTGAAGCAGTTTTACAGAGTCAGCATATTGGCCCTGACAATCTGGGTACTCATTTTACCCACCTTGGAAGGATGGAAAGCTCTGTCACCCTTGAGCCTGGTGGGATTTGAACTGCAAAATTGCAGGAAGCCGATAGTCAGCAGAAGTGGCCTGCAGTACTGCACTCTAACCACTGCACCACTGAGGAATGCTAATTTATTGAGGCGACTGCTTTGTTTTTGATGCTTTCATATTCTGTGTTGGGTTCTGGAGACTGTCTGAACTAGCCCCTGTGGTTTACTTGGCTAGGTTTCTCAAAAGTGGTTTGCCATTGTCCCTTTCCTAGGGCCAAGAGAGAAGGACTGGCCCAAGGTGGGACTAGAACTCACACTCTCCTGGTTTCTATCCTGGTGCCTTTGCCATTATACCAAACTGTCTCTCTTTTACTTTATTATTGTAGGGTAGAATAAAATAAGCTTCCACTTCACCTTAAGAACTAGTTCTTCCTTGATCACAACAGATACAGGTTAACAGAGTTGGAAGGGACCTTGTAGGTCATCTAGTCCAAGCCCCCACCCCAGCTGGAGACCCTACACCATTTCTGACAAATAGCAGTCATATTTATGATAGTTGCGATATCCTGGGGTCCCATGATCCCCTTTTGTAACCTTCTGAGAAGCAAACTCAAATGGGGAAGCCAGATTCACTTAATAAACAAGTTACTAACTCATCAACTTCAGCGATTCACTTAACAACTGTGGCAAGAAAGGTCATAAAATGAGGCCAAACTCAATAAGTGCCTCACTTAGTGACAATGAATTGCAGCCTTTACCTAATCTTTCAAAGGTCTCTAATTTAAACAGTTTTTATGGACTAAGGTGAGGAGAGAGAGAGAGAGAGAGAGAGAAAGGTTTAGGGTTTGTGTGGCCTTAATCTGGGAGAGGGAGGGATGTTTGCACACTCACATTTGTGCATGACCAGTTTATGAGACAGTGGAGGAATCTCTTAGATGAAGTGAGTATTTCTCAGCTGCCCTTGGGCAGTTTAGCATTTAGGAAGCTTTGAGAAGAGCATTCTGCGCCGTGGTGGTGCAGTGGTTAGAATGCGGTACTGCGGGCTACTTCTGCTGCCTACCGGCTTGCCTACGATTTGGCAGTTCAGACCTCACCAGGCTCAAGGTTGACTCAGCCTTCCATCCTTCCGAGGTGAGTAAAATGAGGACCCAGATTAGTTGGGGGAAATAGGCTGACTCTGCAAACTGCTTAGAGAGGGATGTGAAGCACTGTGAAGCTATATATAAGTTGAAGTGCTATTGCTATTGCCATATGCAACTTTGTTGCTGGATCTCTCTCCCTCCCTCCCTCCCCCCCTCTCTCTCCATAAAATAAAGTGGCTTCGAGATTTTTGAGAAGGGTCTTCCTTTAAGACTCTTTCTCAACAACGGTTCCTTCTCCTCTCGCTACCAACATTATGTCTGGTTTTGATAAAATAAAGTTTGCTTTGACTCCTTTCCCCATATAACACAGGTACTTACAGCCATTCGTTTAGTGACCGTTCAAAGGTACAACGGCACTGGAAAAAGTTACTTATCACACTTACGATTGTTGCATGTGTTCCAATTTTGGACACTTGACAACTGGCAGGTCTTCATGATGGTTGCAGTGTCCTGCGGTCACCTGATTACGTTTTGCGACTTTCTGACAAGCACGAGGAAGCCACATTCACTTAACAATACAGTGGCTAACTTAACAATGGCAGTGATTTACTTAACAACTGTGGCAAGAAAGGTCATAAACTCACTTAGCAACTGCCATGCTTAATAACGGAAATTTTGGGCTCAATTACAGTTGTATGTTAAGGATTACCTGCAATGGATATGTATATCCTGCAAAGGTATACTTTTAATATTTGGAACTCCTATTTTGCAGTACAGAAGTCCTATAAAAAATGGCCTACATAGTTTGCAAATTTTGGGAGAGGGGGAAGAAAACCTCAAGAAATCCTTGACTTACGACCCTTTCGTTTAGTGACCATTCAGTTATAACAGGACTGAAAAAAGTGACATGACAATTTTTGTCATACTTATGGCTGTGGTCGTGTGATCAAAATTCAGATGATTGGCATTTATGATGGTTGCAGTGTCCCTGGGGTCATGCGATCCACCTTTTGCGACCTTCTGAGAAGCAATGGGGAAGCCAGATTCACTTAATGACCGTGTTGCTACCTTAATTGCCATGATTCCCTTAACAACGGTGGCAGGGAAGGTCATAAGACAGGGCCAAGGCTTGTTGCTAAGTTACACGGTTTTGAAGTACAATGCCACATGACTGCCCCGCTTAGTGGTGACAGTTTCAGCAGTCCCAGTTGCGATCGTTAAGCGAGGACCTCGCATGGTCACTACTTGTGATCTCCAGCCTGTTTCCCCATTGACTTTGCTTGTGGGCAACTGGCAATCGAGGTCACAAGTCATGTGACTATGGGATGCTGCATGCGTCATTATGACGAGCTGGTTGCTAGGCACCCAAATTGCAGGCACAAGGCTGCAGGGACCCCGTGAAGGCTGCAGTTTGGGGGATGGGCATAAGTTTCGTGTTCAGTGCTGTTTCCACAGTCACTGAGTGAATGGTGATGGTCATTAACTGAGACTACCTCTAATGATTTTCTTTTCCCTGTTTTTTTGCAGCTGTCCATGCCGTCAACAACAATCCGACATATCCCCCATTTCCCGAAGGAATGCAAGTGGCAATATTTGGTGAGTGATGATTTGTCCATGGCCAGATTTAATTACACCCCTTCCCCCGCCACTTGGGACTATAGTCCTGGATGGTAATTTTAACGAGGAAGTAAAATTTCTGGAACCAGCAACAGAGAAATAATGTAGTTGATGCTTTGTTGTGACTTGCATGGCTGGCTAACTAGCCGGGGAATTCTGGGAGTTGAAGTCCACAAGTCTTAAGGTTGCTGAGGTTAGACACCTCTGACATAGAACACCTTAACGATTCACTTATTAAGACATGTTTTCTTTTTCTTTACTTCCTTCCCAGGCATGGGATGTTTCTGGGGAGCAGAAAAAATGTTTTGGAAACTGCCAGGGGTCTTCTCCACACAGGTGGGATTCTCAGGAGGCTTCACTGCCAATCCTACCTACCAAGAAGTCTGCAGCGGTAAGTCTTTTTGAGAAGAATTCTGGGTGGGTGGAATCTCTTTCTCTGTGAAAGAGATTGGAGGGCTTGTCCATACGAGACTCACGAGCAGGGTGTGGCAGTCGACCGGTTTACCGGTTCTATAGAACCGGTTGTTATGATCCTGCACAGTTTGGAGAAACAGCAAATCGTGCCCCTGCCTGGCCCCTCCCCTCCCCTCTCTGCCCGCCCCTCCCCTCCTCGCCCAGTAAGTCCTTACCGTGCATGAGCGACATCGTGTGCATGCCGGACATCACTAACTGCGTTCTCCCCGCCCAGTCACTGCTTAAGGTATTTTTCTTTTCCCCCCCTGATGATCAGCTGTTTTGATGATCAGCTGTTTTGATGATCAGCTGTTTTGATGATCGGCTGTGCCGGGATCCCCCTTGCTGTCTTACTGCTTCACCCAGGAGGCTTCCCCAAGGCCCAGGAGGCAAAAGGGGGCATGCAGGGGTGGGAGTAGGGTGCTCGCCCTACCCATGCTCCATTTTTTTGCCTCCTTGAGCACCAGGGAAGCCTTCTGCAAGCAAAAACACCCCCCAGGAAGCTCCCAGGAGGCCCAAAAATGTAGCCTAGGGTGGTGCTGTATGCCCCCCCATGCTCGGTTTTTTGCCTTCCTGGGCCCCAGAGAAGCCTTCTGGGAGCAAAAATGGCCCCCCAGGAGGCTTGCCTGAGGCCCAGGAGGCAAACAAAAAACAAAAAAAACCAGGGGGGAGGTTTGCTGCAAAACAGCCACACCCACCGAGTCACATGGCCACGGCCACCTAGCCACGGCCACAGAACCAGTTGTGGAAAAAAATTGAATCCCACCCCTGACTCACAGTCTTTACTTTCACCCCAATTGAAACAAAAGAAAATAAGTTGAGAGACTCACTTGCCTTGATTTTCTGATTTTCTGGTTTTCTTTATACTGGTGTGGTTGTTTGACGCTGCACGCTGCACCCAGTCAGTTTCAAACCAAGCTTGTGCAGATCATTGGATACAGTTCCAAAAGATTAGGCTGCTGAGCTTGTAGGATGGCATCACCTACTACCCAAATTGTTGGCAATATGCTGACTCTGTAAACCACTTAGAGGGGGATGTAAAGCCCTGTGAAGCGGTATATAAGTCTAAGGGCTATTGCTATTGCTACTTCTTAAAGCAGCTACATCATTTGATTACCTCATATTGAGCTCGTCCACACAATCTTTCATACAAACCTACCAGTTACATTTGAGTCTCACACACACTAACCATGCTTAGTGTGTTATTCTAAGCCTGGTTAGTTTTAATTCTGGTCAGGTTTTATCTTTGTATATAATTTAGCCTTTGTTTACTGTATGTATCCAACCATTGGTTAATGTAACATTTAAGGTTTGTTCTGGGGAATTCTAGAATGATCTGGAAAATGCTGGAATGTTCCTTCCCCCTTTTGTACCATGATGGACCTGCAGCTAGACTGTGCAGTTCCTGGATCAGCGAGTGTTGTACCTCCTTAGAGGCAGAATTGCCTTTTATGAACCTCAGAGAGGAACACTTGTGTCTTCTCTGGGCAAATGTGTCTATTGGCAGAGTTAATCCTCCCTCCCCAATCTGGATCCCGCAGAAATCAGACCAAACAGTTCTGTAGCTTAACTCCAAAAGCATTTTAAATGTGGGTGTGGAAGATTATCTGTCTGAAAGAAACATTCCCCACATCTGTCATCTACATTATGGGTATTAAGACAATATTCAGGAAAGGGGGGGACACAATCTCTTAGACACACAAACGCACATGCGTACACACACACACACACCTTTCTCTCCAAAACAATCTGTCAAATTGCACTTATATTTCCCAATCTTTGTCTCATTTTTACGTAAATCAGGAATATACTGGAGGCAACAAAGCAGGGAGCCAGTTTTTTCCCCACACAATTTTATAAGGCAGGTGCCACAACCAGTGGTGGGATTTAGCCGGTTCGTACTGGTTCAGGCGAACTGGTTGTTAAATTACCACCACCACCACCGCTATCAAAGAGGATCCTGGGCGTTGCGCTGCAATGGAGAAACGGCTGGTGAGAGAGAAGGTGAAGGCCACTTTCCCTCCTTCTTCTCCCTGCTGCTCCTCCTCCTCCTCCTCTCGTGCTGGCTGCTCTGTTGCCCATTTCTCCATTGCAACACAGCACCAGGATCCACTTTGATAGTGGGGTGTGGGGGTAATTTAACAACTGGTTCGGCCAGGGCCAGGTTGGACATCACAGGAGGCTCGTCCTGCATGTGTGGCGGAGCTGGTGGATGGGGATAGGCCACATCTCCCACGACAACCTGACCCTGGGTGAACTGTTTTGAGGGTTTTGCAGCGATAATTCAGCGCCAGAAAAATAAACACAGATGGCAGATGCTTCATTTAACATCTTTATAAATATAAGTAGATTTTACAAACCAGTTGTAGATTTCTCCAACATGGAGCAAACTCAAACAGAAACATGTTGCAAGTTCAGAGCAGAGTTCCAGTCTTCAGCAAGCAAGCAAGTTAGTTTTCTCTTCAATAGACAGACTAAGAGCTCAACATAGCTGCAGAGTTGCAGAGCTCAATATAGAGCCACACCTAAGCTACTTTTAGTTTCAGTTTCCTGCCTAGGCTACTTTTAGTTTCAGTTTCCTGCC